ACCTCGGCACTAAATAAAAGTGAGCTCTCGGCTTTACGACTCGGCCGCTTTACCCCCGGAAAAAATACCACGGAACACATTAGATAAGAGCCTGGGTGGGGTAGGGGAAACTGTGTTACCCCTGCCGGAAATCAAACCCCGGTCGTCCAGATCAAACCCCGTCGCTATACCGACTGAGCTATCCTGGCTCAAGACAACGAAGTAATCCTATTTTCTATCCCCGATATTTCTCAAACACAATCAGTTGTTTGTAGAGAAAAACAGCTCATTGCTGTTTTCTGAGCCAAATATTCTGAGAACTCAGCATAACACTAAGCACTTCTTCTGGCAGCCGTGAGCTTTGTTGGTTTTCTTTTCATATGAAAAGATAATGAAAAGAAGCCACACTTCGGCATCCAACCTTTCAAATAACTATAACACAGTGCTACAGAGTCAAGTGAGCGGAATCACCCAGGACATTAGGCAACCTCAATGGTTATGAGAATGCTGATTTTTTCTATAAGCACACACCAAAGAACAGACGGATGACAGAGTCTTAAACACATCCCAAATAAATCAGTTTTTAAAAAATGGTGTATTCACTATGACACTAACAGTTATCGGTTATCAGATCACTTCAGGCTCCCGTATTTTCTCTCAATAGGTTCAGAGTCTGATGTTTGTCTTGTGTTGCAAATATTATGGAGATGACATAAAGAGATTACAGAGAACAAAACATGCTACCACTACAATTACTGACTTTTTGGACATTATCCATTGTCCCGTCGGGGGCTCTTTCCCGCAGGTAAAGCGACCGGAGCGTGAAATTGACCACTCACGTCCACCAAGTGCTGAGGTCAAGAATGGTGGAGCTATACCTTCACTCACCATACATCTTCATGGCATAGTGCTTAATTAATTAAAAACAAGGACAACTTTACCTTTGTTACATGTTTTTGTTTAAAGCTATTACTAGATATAAATTTCTACTTTGTTGTTATCTTGTTTCCTGGAATGGAATTAAAAACAAAATCTTATAAACAGTTTAAAAAGTTTCAAAGAGACGACACAGCTAATATCTACTATTCAAATAATGAAGAAACTCCATCAACATTCATATGAGTGGGAGATAAAGCATGTCCATGTACATGTGGGGCAAACTGAAGAAACGCTGAAGAACAGAATGACCATGAGTTGCCAAATGTTGTCTATATAGTGGCACTTGGCACAACAAGAAAGTGTAGATCAGAATTCAACAACTATCCCATGGCCTAGAGGGATACTAACATCAAATTAATGAACGAAGCTTTTATACCTGAAGAGCTGGTCAAACAAATCAAATGCAGTATTATTCTTTTGTGACACTATATGTGGTTTTAGCAACTACAAATACCCAGCAATGAAGGTCAGAACATCTAACTTACAAATTAAATTTTATACATCTCAGCAATCAATTTGAGAAAAAAATCCACCAACATATAATTACAATTTATAAACATACTCAATTTCAATTTGTGTGGCACCTCTGTTAAGAAAATTTCCACTGAAAGTCATCCAGTATATTCTCTAAATATATCGAATAATACAAGTTTAAGTATAGTGGTACTGGCAAAGATGAAGTTATCCCTAAGCTTAAATAACTAGGCATTACCACTGTAACAACATATTCAACAGTCAAGACACAGCTCCACCATTCGCAACCTTTGTACTGAATAGAGTCGAGTGGTCAGCTTCATGCACCTGCCGCTTTACTCCTGGGGAAACAGCCCCTGGTCCCCACTTTACAGAAGGCCGAATGGAGGCCCCAGAGTCAGTCTGGAAGTTACAGGGAATAGACAATCTCTCGTCCTTACTGGGAATCGAAACAAAAATCCTGGGTTGTCAAGCCCGTAGCCTAGTCACTAAGTCACTATACCGAATGAGCTGTCCCACCTCTCACGTATAGTGGTTCACCAATTAAATTGTAAAATAAAATCTGTTTTTACAAGACAGTACTTCATTTTCATTTTAGCAAAAAGCATGCTTAAGCTTCTGTTAATATGTTAAAAAATGTCAGGAACCTGTATCAATGGCTCCAGTACAAATCATGCCTTGAAAGTTTTCATGACTATCGGGATGATTAATCTGGATAAACAGAAACTAGAAATGTGTCACTGGTGATCATAATTGGAACACAGCTTCTATTTAATTCATTACATTAAGATTGGCAAAGAGGTGAAACACAAATATACTGAGGCATGGAATTCTTCTCCTAAGCCTCCCTTTTCTCACAGGATTAGCAATGTAAAAGGTAAAGTTGTCCCTGTGCTCAACGAGTTAAGCACTACACCATGAAGGTGTATGGGGGAGTGGATGTACAGATCCACATTTTCTTGACCTCAACACTAGCTGGAGGTGAGTGGTCAGCTGCACGCCCCGGCTGCTTTACGCCAGTGTAAAGAGCCCCTGGTACCCATTGGATAGGTTGGGTGGACCCCAGAGCCAGTCTGGACGATTTGGAGAAGAGAAAATTCTTGACCCTACCAGGACTCAAACTCCAACCCCTCAGTCATCCAGCCTGTAGCCAGTCGCTATACCGACTATGCTACCTCAGCTCTTAAGGTAATAAAACTGGAATGACAAATGTGTAGTAATAAGAATATAGTGACCCACAGAGAACACCACAACTATCCAGCTGTGGAATGATCAGCTATTTGGCTCGAACAGTGATCATTGATTTTCTAGTGGTAAGCAAATTTCAATTTGTCATCCATGTTAATTTTGAGACAAATGTACACACAGTCTCTTATAACAAAAGAAAAACATATACACTATGATCCTTTTATATGCATATCAAAAGGACAACTTTATTCTTTTTACTACTATCTAAAATTTTGCTTCATGCTATGCACTCAGTAAAAACTTATTTAAATATCTGTACAACCAGAAATTTCATTATAGTACTTTTCACAATTCATTACTATTTCAAGCACCTCTTACACTTTCAATCCACAAATTCTTTGGGGAATGCCACGTTATTTTCGATAATATTAAACTCAAATGGAATGATCCATATAAACAATTACTGAGCTAATATTTTTAAGAAATGCAGAAAAGAGAACTTCAACCAGATTTATTATTTTGGTGCAATAGCTAGGTAAGCCATTTTAACTCGACATGTGACATACATATGGCAATATATTACAAACACATCATACATACACACATTACATTCTGTAGATCCAAAGTAAGTCAGAATGACTGTAGGACATGGAACAAGTCATATAAATACAAAAGCCATAAATACAGTACAACTGAGACACAACAACAAAAATACATCCACTATATAAGTCAATACTGTCAACTTATGCTATGTACTTAACCTTTTAAAAGGATGAGTCATTCTTAGACAGTAGGAATTCATCAACAGAGCAGAATGAGTGTGTATTTAAGTATCGTTTCAGTGCTAATTTAAAATGCATCTTTTCATTCATTAGACTTTTGAGACTAGATGGTACTTTGTTGAAAATATTAATGCCAGAATAACAAGGGATTTTCTGAAAACATGTCAGGTTAGCAACCGGTCTATGGAGATGGTGCTTGTTTCTCATGTTAACACTGTGTACATCCGAATTGGTCTGAAAACGTTCTTGGTTATTTATAATGAAGGTTAATATGTAGTAGTAGTATGAGTGATATCAAAACCTACAACATAAATTCCCTTAGAAAACTAACAAGCACCATACCAATGGTGAAGGCATGCTTACAGAAATTCAATTTCGTAAAATACAGGACCTACATTACTTTTGGCAGCACTGTTGATGTTTCAGATATCCTTGCTGCTTCCATCTTCAGAGTGAAATGGTTATACCATTGCCCTTGCAGAGTGTGAGCCTAGTATTTCTCAACCTTTTGTATCGTGCATCCCACTGACTGTTCTGTCAAAAACATGTTAATGCCATCACTGCAAAAACAAACTTATCTCTTTCCAAGAAGAGTATTTTTAAAATTTTGAACATTTAAATATTATTTTTATCATTAATGAAAGTTCCCACCCAGCTGACCAATAAGGCTCACTCGCAGATCAAACTCTATGATAGCCAATGGGGGGGACTAAAAAAAAGATTAATGCCTACAAGAGCCAATCTCTGTCAGTGTTTGTGTTGTGTGTGTGTGTGTGTAACAGGTTGGAATGATCAAGAAACTTTGTATACATGAATGATGGATATGTACTACAACAACAAAGGCCATGTGAGAGTCATTTTGCCTTGAACAAGGAAGCAACAAATACCCCCAAAACAACAGAAATGCAGCAAAATTCTACACAGTGACATACAGTCACATGCACACACAAACACACAACAAAACCAGGACCAACATCAACAATCAAATGCCATGAAAGAATGAAATTGCCTTAAAAATATCCATTATATTCTGTAGTATTACACTGTCGTTACTTCAAAGAACAAGATTAATGGTTCCTAAGAATGGTATCTTCAGACATTGTGAAGATAGTGAATACTAATCTTAAGTCGAAGATATGATGTTCATTTGTACTTGTGCACCAATAAGCACTTTCACCTGACACAGCACAAAAGCATGGTTTCATACAAGTTAACATGCAGTATATTTCAGTGCACAATTTAGTAACCACATGCACTGGACTAACTGCTCATCGGATTTACATGGTGTTTGCTGAGAATTATTTGTAATTTAGACTGGTTACTATGATGGCCGATGGTTATAGGTCATAATGAGATTCTGAGTGCCGCTGATCTATTTTGATGGCTTCCACTACACACATCTCTTGAAATTACTCCTTTTATTTCAGGTCTTCTAGATTCAAAAAACAAATATTCAATCTCTGACTGATGTGTCAATCTGGACGCAATCTTGGGGCTGGAAAAACAGACACTGCTCATTGGCTGACTATAAAGCTGAATTTGACTACAGCTTGACAGGGTCTGATACTGTGGTGGGGATCCTAACTCCAAACCAAGGACCTATTTCGGCTACAATAGAATATCCAAGATTTCACTTACCTGTACTTGAAACATGGTGACAGAATCATCTAACATCTGAACACGTACTGCAAGCATCTTTCCACCCTTCTTCGGTGTGGTTGGAGGAGTTCTGGTACCCCCATCCACCCCTGCAGGGGTTGAATGTGAATGAGGCAGTTTCATGGAGGATCCCCCTCCAACACCACCATCTGGGTCCATATTTAACAATGTAAAATGGCTCTTTTACAAAAATAAAAAATTGTTGCTTCAGCACCTCCTGATGATGGCAATGGTGTCAAGGAAAGGCTTTCAATCACAGTAACCACAACGTAAACAACAATCTGCACTGGATTTGAGTCCTGGTGCTGCAATGGCTGCTACAGGGTTGTGTCTGGCAGCAGCAGCAGCAGCAGCAGCAGCAGCTATTCAATGGGCTACTCATCAGGACAGATACATCATCATGGGTGCATTTCAGCACCTGAAACACAGAGAAACAAACCAAGAGTTACTTTCATGAAGTTATCTTAAATGTACAAAATATAAAGGAAACAAGATTAAAACCTTCTTTACAATATGTAACATGTCAATATGTATGTTCTGCAGCAGACACATTTGTAATTAATGAGCTACTCCATAGAGCAGGATGATACATAGCTAATGCATGTGTCATGTATTAAGGAGGTGGTAGGAATAAACTTAAATCACAGACTGGATGTGACTGACGTTATTCATAATTTCGCTCTGTCACTGGATGAATATGCTGGGATATCTTATAGAAGACCACAACTCCTTCCTCTCACATAATTCCTCATCCAGCACTCACAATGACTGTACCATTTCTTCTTTGAAGCTATACAAAATCAACAGTTGAGGAACTCCCACAATCTAATTCAATAAACTTGAACCAAAAGAGAGAATGAATCTACTTAAGCATATATTTGCATGCAGAATGTCATTCATTACACATAAGTTCTGGTCCATACTTTCATGGATGCCAGCGCCATTCTCATTTCTGAAATTCATGAGATCACAATGATGGCGCATAATTAAAAATGATGTCATAATGATCATAACCAAGTTTCAAGATTATCTGATAACATCCTACAGTGTCTTTCATATAATAAACCAGTTTTGTTTTTCAAAATATGATTGGAAAGTTTATACTCATTAATGTAATATACCAAATTCCTAACAGAGTCCTTTGCAGTTCATTAAGCCTACTTCAGGTCTGTTTATATAGTTTACATAACATCAAATATATGAAAAAAGCCATTTACGGTCTTGAGTGAAGTGGACTTTATTATGGATTAATATGGCTGAAAATCAAGACTTGCTAACAACTCTGTGAAAATCTTCCACAGTGAACTTTAAATGTGCGAGACCTGAGGTTCTCACTATGCAGAGTCCTGCTTTCGTGGATGTGCCGCCGTGTAGTCTGGCATATCTTTAGCGACGTTTCAGATAAATGTGCTGCCTCTTCCAATAATGGAGGCACTGATAGCGATACAGACCAAGTGGTATTATATTTGTAGGGTTTGAGGTTCTCACAACTGTTGTTTTGAAGAGTTCTATCTTCTGATATATATAATGCCGTGTAGCCTGTTGAAAATAAACCGTTTCGGAGGAACATATCGCCTCCATCTTCAGGATTGAATAAGCTAAGCAAGAATTCAGTATGAAAGCAGGTGGCATGCGGAGCATCACGCTTGTTTCTTGCTTGGCTTATTCTTCGACCCTGAAGAGGGAAGTGACATGTGCCTCCGAAATGTCGGTTGTCTTACACGGCATTATATCCAAGAAGATGCAACTCTTCACTTATGATATCTATCAAATTTGTGCAAGGACCTCCAACATGAAATTATCACTGTCAGTCCTCATGTTCACAGATGACAGCAAAAAGAAAAGAAGCTTAACTACCTTGAAATCCGAAAATTGTATAGAAATAGTTTACTAGACATATAATTTGTTTCATTTTTCTCCTAAAGCTTAAGTTTGACGCATTTTTTGTCCCCATGAATACTTAAAGAGTTAGGAGCCAGTTATCTTCGAGATGAGTACAGAAACGCCTGTCGGTCTTCAAGTAAGGCATCTGTTGCTTTTGTTCGATTTTAACCAGAACTAGAATTTCCCAAAGGCTTTCAGTGAAAGTTTGCAATATCACATTAAAAAGAATATGTCCAATGCATAAGCGCCGAAACTACGTCACACACAGACGGTTAGACATTCTTTCCACATAAGGGGCTGTTTTACTTTGTAATGAACGCCTAATAAAGAAAATACATTACAGATGACTGTGTGAGTATAACTTAACATTTGCTAGCAATCCAGTTTCCATACACGTGACCACGAACCGCTGTGCGTTTTATTGCAGACAGTTTCTGATAATATGGAGACATATTTACATACATGGTTTATGCTGGATACTGTGTAACCCAGATTGGGATTATCGCAATTGTTTCACAGTGAACTCGCCTGAAAATACGTACAAAGTAATGCATTTCACTTTAAACACCTGGGCGGTGGGGGGAAAAACAATGACCCAAATGTATTCAGTGCACTCAACAATGATATAGGATTCCCAATTATTCAATTCTCAGCGCTGAATAAATGTTCTATAATGACCGATCGTAAAGTGTCTGCCTTCACAGCACATCACAATACAACACAAAAGCACAAATCTATGCTCAAAGTGGGATTTTAACCCGTTACCTCTGTGTCCTTGCGGCTCTAGACGGTACAAACGACAAGCAACACGCTATGTGTAATCGGCTGAAACCTTAAATTACATCTGAAAATCGAAGCATCCAATGATGATCTGTTTGAAGTAGTATGTGATTTTTCATCGACCACTACATAAACTTTAGAGTAGAGGCCACTGATAATTCGGCGATGTTTTGTTAGCGTTGTAACCGACCGCGTGATTGTGTGATTTTGGTTATGTCGCGTTGCGATATGGTGTCTAGAGTAGCAAACAACTTGTGTGGAATTGTGTGCCACCCCGGGTAAAACAGGCGCGTAAACCCACATGTTATGGTATAAAACTACGATCTGCGTATGGCATAACGGTTTCCAAAGCAGAACTTCAGCAGCTGACAATAAGAGGTCAAGCCGACCTTAAACTTCAAGAAACGATTCCTTGATTGCTCAAATGAAAGACATCCATGCATATCGCCGAATTATTCTGTGGGAATCAGCAAAAGAGATCGGAATATCCACTGCCTCCTGTCAACAAAAGACTTAAGGGTGCATCAAGGCCGCGCCATAGCTCAAGCGGTTAGTCGCTGGCTTCCCACCGCGGCGGCCCGGGTTCGATTCCGGGGTCTAATCAAGTGGGATTTGTGGTGGACAAAGTGGCGCTGCGGCAGGTTTTCTCCGAGTACTTCGGTTTCCCCTACCAATCTTCAGTCCACCAATTGCTACACAATCACGCTCGCCTATTATCTGGGGCTGGTACAACAGGCCAGAAGTGGCCGCAGTACAAGGGACTTGGTCCCACACCACCAGCATCAAAAAAAAAAATTAATGGTGTATCAAGTCTCAGCGAAATTTGTGTCAAGGCTCTTGACTGATGATCATATAATACAATGTGTTGCAGTTTGCGAAGACCTGCAACGGTTCCTTTCAACGTCATAACTGGACATGAGACTTGTACGGTTATGACGTTGAAACAAGATGACAGTCATCGTTATGGAAGAGTCCTGATTCACTGCGCCCTGAAAAAGCACAAGTGCCCTCCAAAATGGCACTGATCACCACGAGGGATGTGGTTCTAAGAAAAAAACAAGGAACGTGGACCGTAGGACGTGGTATCGCCATCACAACAGTGCGCCTGCTCACAACTCACACAGCACTGTTAGTTCAAAATTTCTTCACAAAGTATTTGTCTGAAACCTCCCATTTGCCTGACCGATCTCCTCCATTCTAGTTGTGTTGTCCAAAATAAAAATGTCCTAAAAGGAAGGATTCACACGGCAAAGGACACTATAACTAATATGACAGATGAACTGAGAGCGACATTGAGCTTTCAAAAGAGTAAAAGGCCACGGGAACGCTGCGTTCCTGCTCACGGAAAATGTTTTCAATGTGTAACTAAGCTGCAAGTCCTCAAATAAACTTATTACTTATGAATAAGGAACTTCCCCAATAAAACTCGTAGGTAAACTTCACGGACATGCAACTTGATCGATGTAAAGTTGTAAAACTGAATCTGTTTAATTCAAGCCTCCCATTTGCACAGAAAGGGTACTTAAGTATACGGGATTAGTGATTCTGGAACGTGAAGCCGTGCAGTCCAGTAAATGTTTACCAACGTTTTTGGATAACGTGCTGCTTCTGTCTTCATGGTCTTCCCTGAAACTGAAGGCAGTACATTCCTCCGTCGACATACATATATCAGCCTACACGGCGTCACATCCCAGAAGACCGATATTTTCATATTACCGTCGTAAGAACCTAATCTCGAGTATAATTAACACGAGTTGAGATTTTTCATGAACACCAAATCATATTACAATTATTGAATAACATTTAACTAATCACTTCATAACAAAAACATGAATCTGTTACTTGGTGCATACTTCATTGAACGGGTTGATGAAAACGTGACAACTTAATTAAAGAAGGAAGAGAGTGAAAATGTGCAATGCACGGAAGTCTGCTGTTGCAATATTCTGCACTGGTACGGCTTGAAGGCTGTCACTGGTCATTGCTGCTCCAAATTCTGGTTACGTAACTTCCCTTCATATACATATGCTGAACCAGGTAAAAAACACTTTAGGGCAAGAGCCATTAATTATCGTAAGGCACAACTATTAACAGAGGTATAAAAATGTTAAAAACTGGCACCGATTTGAATTGCTTCAAAAGCAATCGCGACCATCTCCGTATGCTACGCAACAAATGCCTGGAATAATAAAAGCTATGGTCAAATGTTCCAGACAAAACGCTACACACATTCGATAAAGCCATGTTCTTACCGCATTCTCATGTCACAGAACAGAGAGCCGGTGTTTTCAAACTTTCATAATGAATAGAACTTATTACAACTTCTGCTTTCCATTAAATTCCCTCCATCTGAATACACTCCGGCTAAGGTTACAAATTTTTAAGTAGCTATTTTTGTCAAAACCAATTAGGTACCATAAGTTCCCTGTACCTGAATATTTCATAACTTAACCTCATAGATTCCCATCGTCGCCATGACCATAATTTTCAATATACATGAGTTAATGATAAAAATACATTAAAACGTCGATTTATCAAAATCTATGACTATACATTCTTGTTTAGCGAGTATAAGCAAACTCCCACAAATCTGTCGGTCTTCATATGGCAGATGATTGATCGTTAAAAACAGCTCTAGACTTCAATCTACATTCGAGTCATTACGTAATTTGACATTTTATCAAAAGCTGTTCCCCCAAGTGCAACTGATAAATCTAGAGAACATCACGGTTGAGCAGTCAGCGGGTGTTTCGT